ATAAGGAATGGATGAATACACAAAGGGTTTGCGTAGTTGTCAAAACTATCAGTTCTTGGACGAAGCACTATACGATGTCCCCTAGAATTGCTGCTAGATCTATGAGTTGGTATAATTCACAGAAGGGTGGGCCGGGTTGGAAGTAAGGTAAGAAAGCTCTCGAATAAAGATTGTGAGCGCCAATCAACGGCATGGATTGAACAAAATGGCGACCGATTCCCTTGAAATATAAGGCAGTGCAACGTGCTAGACAAGAAGCAATATCATCACGTTAGACGTGTGAGTGCTGCGAGGCAATGGAACAAAATGAACAATATCGTTTCGGAACTGATGCCCGCTGGAAATCACGTCATCCTGTTATGTAAAACTACTGCTGGATGCATCTGTTCTTGTATTCTATAGTATGCTTCTTTTTAGCTGGTCTGACGATGGCCTCATGGAAGAAACGCCATCTGCGAGAAATTTCGAAAAGAAGGGTTGCCATCGAAAACCAAACTACAAATAATGAAGCTTAAGTAACCATCTTTACTTCGGGACAACAACCGTTTAATCAACACAACTATACCTGTAACTTGCGGTTTCGTAATCGTGAATCATATTAGCAACGTCGGCGAATCTTTTCGAATCCCTCAAATCACCTGGTTTTGTCACCACAACTGCCATAGTTTGCATGCCCTGAACAATTGGAGTATCTGACCTCATATTGTGGTATTTCGTGTATATTACTACAATTACATGGTGTATTTGATATCTAGTTTTTTTCATTCAGAGTCAGAGATCATCTCCCCTAGTCATTCTACTATATATTGAATCGAGGGTACTTTATATGGGTTCGTCAGCAACCAGTGCAGTTAGAAAGTTTCTCACAATCAGTTCCCCTTTCACAAATATTTTCTTGTCATCTTTACTTATGATTTCTGGAGTCTACCCTATATGACGAGTAGTATTAAGAACAGGTGTATACTGCGGGGGGACTGAAAAATATGGCGCGTACGAAAATCTGTTATAAGTGCGTGCTTTTTTCTGACGAGAGTCCATTGGATACACTACAATAGGTCTCAAATAATAAATGTCACTAATGACACTACAAGTATCCAGGAGAAGCCATCGCGTTGTGTCTACAATTTGCTGCTTCCAACATCATGCGACCCTCCCCAACCCCCTTCCTCCCGAAAAAGAGATAACATCAACGGATGCTTCAGATACGAACGTTTAGATGTCGCGGTGAAGCACGCTTCCTACCGTCGCTCTAAAGCGCGCTGTTTTCCAATAACTTGCAAAATGGGTGGGAAATCCGGAAGTACCTTTTTTGGGTATCCGCAACATTCAAATAGGGTAAAACTCTTAAATCAAGAAAAAAAAAGGTCGTGATTCAGTTTAACGTGAGGTTTTTAGTTGGCATATAGTGGCGGAGTTCCTCTAAAGTTTTCATATCTTACGGAAAGTCGTGCATTAGCAAGAAGTAAAGAAGGAACGCATCATTAAGAAGTGCAGAGAAGGTCCATTCAGGCCTGATGCAGGGAAACTATGGGAAAGAAGGGGTCGCATACTCTTAAGGTCGTTATCACCCACGTATCTACAATTCTTCGCTGTTGTTTGTTGTTGCGGAAGTTCGGTTAGACCTGAACAACAACTTGGAGGGGTCGGGTCAAGGTCGGGATGGATAGGGCTTCGGCGCATGCCCCGCCCATCGTGGTGCATGCGCCGAAGTTGGCGGTGCAACCGACAAAAATTCGTAATATGCTTCCAGAGCAGCACAGAGATGGCGAAAAAGTGATAAGGTTAGCGACGGGTTGGAAGACTAATCTGGGGGAACCCCCGGAACGGGCGGTGCTCCCCACGAATCAGTAACTCGGTCCCTGAGAGAGTTTAGAGATCGCAAAAAAGTCGATGCAGAAGGGAAACATCTGGCGAGAGTTGCATGCCTGTGGTCGGTTGAGACCCGCTCATAGTGGGCGGGGATTGCCCTCTATGAGCGGGTCTCAACACACCGCAGACTCGTACGCAGACGGAGTCATGGAGTGCTCATTTCATATAATTCCAAAGCACTCCAGAGACTGAAAAAAAGTAAATTAAGGCACGAGGGTGCGCCGGTTGAGAAAAATGTTAGACACACAGATTGTGAGCGGGGCCTGCGCCTATGTGGGCGGACCCAGACGACAAGATCTGTATAATGGTCCAGAATGCTCAAGATACCACAAAAAAGTGGATTAACTTTAGCGAGGGGTTGCCGTTTGAGAAGCGTGGGACACGTACGTTATGGGCGGACCCTGCGCTGAGGTGAAGAACCCGAACTCAAAAACTTGTAGTTCCGTCCTATAAAAGCTTGGAGACCGGGAAAAAGTGAGTGAAAGGGAGCAGCCGGTAGGGGAATGATGTGGGAAAGGCACACACGGAATGAGCGGAGCGGGCGAAGGAGAGGCAAAAGTAAAAAATTCCAGGAATCCGTTGCAGAGTAGCATAGTCACGGTGAAGAAGTGGGGTGAGGTCATCAATGGGTTAGTGGACGGATCTGGGAAACATTTCTCGAGATGGGCGGGTCGTGCTTGAGGCGGGGGGCTCCTTAGAAAACTTCATAACTTGGTCCTGATAGAGTTTAGAGCTCGGAAAACGTTGTCGGAGAAGCGGAACATCTGGCGAGAGTTGAGCACGTCCGTTGTGTGCTGAGATCCGCCTTCGGGGGGGGGGGTGGCGTGCTCAAGCATGAGGTACTTATGTTTTGACTGAGTTTCAGATATAGGCATCCACATCCGTACACATCGGTTGTCATAGATGCGTTTAATACCAGTTCACTCGCCAACTAGCTATGGTGCGCTTTCTTCTGTGATACGGCTCAGGTTTTGTGGGCGTGGCTTTCCCGCACATGCCTCTTTCGTATGTGTTAACACCCAACTAATACCCAGCTTTCTCCCATCTGTGCACTTGAAACAATACTATGGAAGGTAATAGTGTTGAAAGAACAGGTGCCTTTAAAGGAACTAGGTGTGGTGCTAATGGTTAAAAAGGGTTGACCATGGGTACAGATAAAAGAAAAGTCGGGCCTCAGTTTGATAAAGTAAGAAGGCACGGCGGCGAAGCCGTGCCTGAAAGCGAAGCTGGGTCGCATCAAAGCAGGAGGCGCATCGGACGTCAGCCGGTGAGCCGGCTGATGAACAGTAAGCCAAGTGTTCCACATCTGCGCGAGAACACTTCTATCTTCTTTAGAGGGGGAGAACAAGGGCAACTCCCCTGTAGGGTAGTGCGTTACCACCCTCGCTACAGATTGTTCGAATTGAAAAGTATAACAGAACCTCTAAAACTATTTATAGCTCTAAGCATTAGTGTAAGTGCTGTCGTATTTCATTTAGGGAAAGTATTACATTTAACAGTAATATTCATGTGAGTAATGCGTTAAGTATTCGGTTAAGAGGCGTACCTTTATAACTTCCTCGTAATGCATTTTGAACTGAACAATGCGCGCGTCTGGTGGAGCAAGCTTTTGCACAGAAAGATCAGTCTCGATAATGGAGATACCGTAGTACGTGACAGTCCAATATACAACAAGAACCTAGCAAAAAGTGAACCGTTAGAAAGCACATGCAACGGTTGCGATTGCGAATATATATGTTGTGTTCTATTCTACTACTATTATGTATTCTACTATTCTCTTACGGTGTCTCTCACCATTATTCTATACCTAGAACTGTCATATTAGATCACTCATTTCTTACCATCAAAACGAGAATTTGCATCAATGGCTTCC